GGGGGGGGTCCCTGGAGTGGCAGGGACCATGCTTGGATCACAGCTGTGTCCCTAGCACCGGGCCTAGCGTGCAGCAAGATCAATAAATATTTGTGGAATACATGACTGTGCTGGCTGCCTGTGTCCGCCCAGTGGGAGAGTCAGAGACCCTCATCTGAGGCCAGGCTACCTGGTACTCTCCCTGCCAGGCTGGCTCTCCCTCCTGTGTCCTCTCCACCCTGTCCCCTCCTCCCATTTGACCTTACTCTCCTGATGTCCTGAATTGCAATTCAGTCCTCTCAGCCCTTTGCGAACTTTGGCCCCTGGAGGCAGGACAGTCAGCAGTGGGAGGTCAAGCCCCCAGCTGTGATTCTGTGCAGCTTAATGGGCTCAGACCGCCCAGTTTGCCTTCATCAGCTGTTAGTGCCTGGGGCTATTTCCCTGCAGCCAGGACTCACTGCACTGTGTGCTCTAAAGCCCCGCCTGCCCTTGGGGTTGCCCGCCCCTCTTCTGATCCCCTTTGTGGGAGAAAGACTTGACTAAGCAGGGCCCGGACTACATCTCCCAGCGTGCCTGACAGAGTGGTGGCCTCTGTGCGTCGGCTGTACTGGTCGCCGGCAACAATGCAGCGAGCAGTGAGCATGGTGGCCCGCCTGGGCTTGCGTGGGCAGCCTCTTCCCTCGGTCCCAGGCCGTCTGCTCAGTGGCTCACAGGTGGGATAGAGGGTGCTGGGGCATGATGCCAATCTTGGAGGGTGGGGGAGGGAGGGGACTGGGGGCTGGGACCCTGGTGGCACTGAGTCTAGCCGCCCGCAGGATGTGCTCCGCAGGACTCCACTCTATGACTTCCACCTGGCCCATGGCGGGAAGATGGTAGCGTTCGCGGGCTGGAGTCTGCCAGTGCAATACCGGGACAGCCACGTTGACTCACACCTACACACACGCAGGCACTGCTCGCTCTTTGACGTGTCCCACATGCTACAGGTGAGCCAGGGGAGCAAGCCAGCCTCCGGACCAGGGCTTCCTCCCCAGCCCCAGTGGTGCAACCTGTGGCTTTGTTTGCTGGGAGCTAAATTCCAAGGGTCGCCATGTCAGAAGAGTCGGAGGTTTCAAGGGTGTCATAGGCCATGGTCCCCAGGAAATTAAGAAGTTCTCTTGATCGGCTCCTCTCTAATCTTTCCAGTGTGCTCCCACTTAAGGGCGTGCCTTAATGTTCTGGGTTTTCCAGGGCTGGCACCCATTTTCAACCACTGTACTGGGTATTGGTTGGGAAAAGTGGGTATTTCAGGAAGGTACTGGGCCCTTCCAAATGCCCTAAACCACCCCCCCCACCCCCATTGTACCCCTTCCCATATTGGCAGATGTTGGGGAATCAGAAGGTGGGGACTTTGCCACCCGCAGACCCAAAAATCTGGTTAGGCAGTTCAGCTTAGTTGGACTGTGTGTTGTGGATGGCAGGAATGATGCCTCCTTGCCTGGTGGCCTTCTAGATTGGAGCTATTGCAGTGTCCTGAGGCTTTTGAACTCTTTCCCAGACCAAGATATACGGTTGTGACCGGGTGAAGCTGATGGAGAGTCTAGTGGTTGGAGATATTGCAGAGCTAAGGCCAAACCAGGTGGGCCCCTCTTCTCTTATTTCTGCTCAATAGGTGTTCTTAGTCATGAGCCAGCAAACAGGTGGAGTCTCTACTTCGGGCTTGGGGGCACAGTGATGGATCAAACATAGCTTCTCAGAGCTTGCATTCTTGGGGAACTGAGTCCCTGAGATATGTCCAGACACCCAACCATCTGCAGGGAGGAGCCTGTCCCATCCTCACCACATAAGCCTGACAGGCCAGAAACCCAGGTTCATGTCCTGTTCTGTGACTCTCTGTGCTGCCTAACCCCTCACAATTGGAAGTCTAGTTCCTAAGGCAGCCTCTTTATCACCTATGAGCTTGTTAGGAATACACACTGAGGCCCTGCTCCTGACCTGCGGAATCAGAACCTGCATTTTAACAAGATCCCCAGGTGATTCACGTGACCTCAACTTCCGGTTTTTTGTCCATCCAGTGTGGAGGCTGAGGCCTGCCTCATAGTATTTGGGGGCATTGTTGCTGTGGAGCATATGAGATCAAGATGGACTTTGAAGCTTCTGTCCTGGGGTTTGGAGGATGGGCTGACTTGTTCTAGGTCTGGGTGGGATGAAGCAGCAAGTCCTAGGTCTCATGGATCAAGAGTGAGATGGGACTCTCAGTACTGAGTGGGGAAGGGTGCAAATGTTCTCAGTGCATGAGGATCAAAAACTGTGTGCTTGGGCAGGGGCCTGGGCTGACCCAGCCTTGCTCCTTGCACCTTCCCAGCCCTGTGCATGAGGGTTCATAAGTGTGGTGGCTGAGTGGGCCCAGCTGTGTGTCTGACACTTGACCTTGGCCTCCTGAACCTGGAGGCAAAGATGCTCCATTCTGATGCTAGGGGACACTGTCGCTGTTTACCAATGAAGGCGGAGGCATCTTAGATGACTTGATTGTGACCAACACCTCTGAGGGGCACCTGTATGTGGTGTCCAATGCTGGCTGCTGGGACAAGGACTTGGCCCTCATGCAGGTAGAGCACCTGTGTTCTAGGTACCGCCTTCCTTATTCACAGAACAGCATCCTTGTTGTCCAGGACAGACCTGGCATAGAAAACGGACTCAGACAGTGGGTCTTTGAGTGAATGAACAGCAGGCCAGAGTGGGCCCTCCCTGGTGCATGTCAGGTTTCAGTGGTGGGAAAGTAGAGGGGGTAGGGAAGTGAAGCTGACCCTCTAGCCCCTAAGTGAGCATCTTCTGGTGACGGTGGAGGGCTGGAGCCTGGTGTTAGAGCTGGCAGAGCTGGGCTTGGGTCATCCCTACCACTTAGTAGTTACACAACCTTGTGATGGGAACCAGCCTACCCTGCCCAGCTCTGCCGCACCCAGCCCACGGCAGGTGCTCAGGAAGTGGTATGGCGTTTCTGTCTTTCAGGACAAGGTCAGGGAGCTTCAGAACATGGGCAGTGATGTGGGCCTGGAGGTGGTGGATAATGCCCTGCTAGCCCTGCAAGGTGAGTGGCCAGGCTGGGGTTGGTGCTGACCTTTGCCTTCCTGGCTTCCTCAGCTGCTTAGCACAGAGGCCACACCAGGAGGAAGGTGTAAGTGGTATGAAGTTTGTGTGCCATATTCTAAGCTGGGTGTCATGCCCTCCCTCTACCTGCCCCAAGACGCCATTCCCTAGGCAAGAGCATCTTCTCCACCTGCAGCAGAAGATTGTTCAGGGCTTGTTCTGATCCCCGAATAAGGGCTACAGTTCAGCTTGGAGGGGGCACTGGGACCTGGACACTTGGTCACTGGCTCTCTGGGCCCAGGCCCCACTGTGGCCCAGGTGCTACAGGCTGGCGTGGCAGGTGACCTGAGGAAACTGTCCTTCATGACCAGTGCTGTGATGGAGGTGTTTGGCGTGTCCGGCTGCCGTGTGACCCGCTGTGGCTACACAGGAGAGGATGGTGTGGAGGTGTGTTAAGTGGGTGCAGGGTAGTAGTATAGGGCAAAGGACTTTGGGGCCAGCGACCCACCTGCTCTCTGGTGTCCTATTCAGATCTCAGTGCCAGCAGCTGAGGCAGTCCACCTGGCAACAGCTCTGCTGGAAAACCCCGAAGTGAAGCTGGCAGGGCTGGCGGCCCGGGACAGCCTGCGCCTGGAGGCAGGCCTCTGCTTGTATGGGAATGACATTGATGAACACACCACACCTGTGGAAGGCAGCCTCAGCTGGACACTAGGTGAGCTGGGCTAGCACTCAGGGATGGGATGCTGAAGGCTGGAGTGGCTCTTAATGAGGCCAGCCAGCCAGTGACTGCTCCCAAGGTTCTGTGGCCTGGAGCAAGTGACAACCTCCCAGGGCCTCCATTCCCTGAAGGTGCCACTGTGGCTTAGCCCATTAGACACTGAGGACTCAGCACGTGGGCAGCATGGCCTCCAAGACCAGGTGGCAGGGGGTGGGTGGCTGACTGATTACATGGCAAGGGAGGGATAGGGCCTGTGGGGGTCTAAGTGATGGGGCCTCAATGCTGGATGGATGGCACTTGGGGTCCTTGTAGCTATGACCTCGTGTGGCCAGGGGTCATATGGACTGTGGCTTAAGTCTGGTGTATTATGCTCCAGGGAAGCGCCGCCGAGCTGCCATGGACTTTCCTGGAGCCGCAGTCATCATCCCCCAGCTGAAGGGCAAGGTGCAGCGGAAGCGTGTGGGGTTAATGTGTGAGGGGGCGCCTATGCGGGCACACAGCCCCATCCTGAGTACAGAGGGCACTGTGATTGGTAGGTGCATCAGGAAGGTTGGAGGGCCCTTGTCCTTTCCCCAGGAGGGTGGGGGCACTGGGCTGGCAGGGCAGTGCTGACACATGGCCTCTGCCTGGATAGGTACTGTGACCAGTGGCTGCCCTTCACCCTGCCTGAAGAAGAACGTGGCAATGGGTTATGTGCCTTTTGAGTACAGTCGGCCAGGTACCCGGCTGCTGGTAGAGGTGCGGCGGAAGCAGCAGATGGCTGTGGTTAGCAAGATGCCCTTTGTGCCCACAAACTACTACACTCTCAAGTGAGGACAGCTTCGGACCAGGCCCTCCCCTCCAGGAGCCTTGCCCTGGACGGTCTTTTCTAAGGGGTTAGTCAGGAAGCCGAGGCAGAGGGTAGATGGCTCGAGTGCAGGCTGGCTCTGCTTGTTTGGTTAAGGGGGGCACGCCACCTAGACCCCCTCATCCTTCAATTTCAAGACCCCAATTCTCAGTGACTGACCAGCTCGCCCAATGTCCTATATCAGCCCACGCTCCCACTGACCCCTCTTGCCTGCTGGAGGGCTGTGAGAAGCACCAGTTCTGGCGTCTGTCCCTTCCACTCTGCCAGGTGCTGGCTGTGCAGCAAGGGCTCATCTTTAGGAGGATAAAGCCTGCCTCTCCTACCTCACCAGTTTCTCACACTGCGAAGGGTTCTTCCCTTGGGCAGGACTGGCCACCTCCTCCAGTTTACTTTCCATGAATGCAGACTGCTGCCTCTCCCTGGGCAGGAATGATTCCTGACTCACAGAGGGTTGGCCCAGTAGGGCTGCTGTGCCTGTGTGTGAACACAGGGATGGCCGAGGGGGCGCAGACTCACTCTTCCACATTCCCAAGTTGGCCCAGCCTGCTGCCCAGTAGCAAACCATGCCAGGCTCACCATCTGTTCTGAGCCCCAGGGCTGTTGTAGGGCAGGCTGGGCCTTCTCCTTGGACGTGCCTTATCCTGGGCTGACCTTTGCCCCTGTGTCCCATTACCAGACTCCACTGACTCCTAAAACACATTAAACGAGCTTTCTTCTTGCTAGTCTCGACCTTCATTGTCCTTTGCCTACAGGGTTCCTGGGGTGCCAGCCCAATGCCAGCCTTCCTGGCCTCTGAGACAGGCTGAGTGGGTTCCCCTTGAGAGGGGCAGGTCTATAAGAACTAATGAAGGTAGTGCCCATGTTGGGCACACAGCACTGCTCCTTCCAGTAACTAGTGTCACCTCTTCAGCCCACGCTCCCACTGCCCACTCTTGTCTGCTGGAGGGCTGTGAGAAGCATTAGTTCTGGCATTTCTCCCTTCTGCTGCAAGTCATTAAATTCTTGGTGCCAAGGGGCAACAGCCCCTGGGGTGTTCTCCTTCCAGTTTCCCCTGTGCATACACACTCTTTCCCTGTCTGAATAACCACACAACTGATGCACTTCCATGTTTAATAAGCCACATCCTCAGTTGAGCCTGGGATAGAATGTGAGACCCTGATTCTGTGTGTGGTGTCAGTGGGTAGGCCTGGGGCTGCAAAACCATCGTCCTGCCAACCAGAAGATAACTCTGGACGACGTACTTGTGCAAGAGCTCAGGGTATTCCTACTTCCAGTGCACCTTGCTGCAAAGGCTGTCAGATGGAAATGTGACATCTAACAGAGCAGAAGCAGACAGCGGGACACAGGTAGCTGGTGGCCCAGCAGGAGCAGGCAGAAGTACATCCATCAGGGAAGGAGGCAGGTGTAGGGCCACACTGCTCTCAGGAACTGCCGTTTGCAGTTCACAGGAACTCCACACCTCTGGAGGCTCCCCTGGCCCACTGTGGAAGTGGCATGCCTGCCAAGCCGGTGGCTTTTACCTCAAGGGGTTTTTGGGGCTGAGATGGTGCTAGTGGGGAGGAGCTGAGCCCATGGGCTCTTAGGATGAGGCTCCAGGACAGGGTGGGGCCGCTCCGCACTAACCTCCGCACTAGCGGGCAGGGTCCAGACCCACAACCCTGTGAGCCCTTATGTGGTGTGGGTGGGAGGTCACCCCTGGGGCTCAGCCTCTTTCAGGTACCCGGCTTCCCTCCAAGAAGGACTGAGAGGAACATGAGGATGATGCTTGGGAAAAGAAACTTCCATAGCCAGGCTCAGCCCTGGGGAGCTCTGGATGCACCGGGGAGGTGGGTGTTTGGTACCTCCACATCTATGGTGCCAGCTGCCCCCTGCCTTATACTTGGATGTCCAGCTAAGTGACCATAAAGTATAAGGCTGTGTTCAGACCAAGATTCCCAGCTCCCTGCCAACAAAACCAAATTCAGGAAACCTAGGGTTTAGGGGAAAACAGACTTCCCTTACGAATCCCAGAGCTGGTCAACCTCAGGCTTCCTCTTGGACAAATCTCTATGGGGTCACATCCCAGGGGGATGGGAAAAGGGACAGGAAAAAGCCAAGACACAAATTGGATCGCCGGCCTTCCCAACCCAGAGGCTTCTAAACTGACCCCTGAAAGGAGGAACATGCTTTCTCTCCTCAGGCACCCATATCAGGGTGGAGGCTGACTCTTTACTGGCCCAGTGCCTGGGGCTGCTGGAGCAAAGGCCAAGGGCAGTGGAGGCCCAACTGGGCAAGTACTGGGGTACTCCCTGACCCCCAGCCCTGACCCCCCTGCAGTCATCCCTGGGGTCTGGGCAGCAGAACCCAGTGTGGGAGCCAGCAGACCCGGTGATGTCCCCGGAGACCCCTCTGCTGCCTTCCCTTATTCTCTGTGGGTTTTGAGAGGTTCGTTTGCTGCTGTTTCCCTAAAAGTGATGGAGAGAAGAGAGGGGTTACTCCACAAGCAGCACAAAAGTCCCTGAGATTGGCTTTCTCTAGCCCCTTCATAGGGGCTGAGCTGGGCTCACTCAGTAAGGCCACATTACAATCTAAACCTCTCTGCTGAGCTCCCACAGCCCACACTGGGCCCACCACCTTTCCCCAGGTAGACCTGTCCTTCCTCCTGGTTCCCCACCATATGATGGGGATGGTTCCCATCCTTTCCCATTTGCCCAAGAAAAAAACTTGGGCAGTGGCAAGCCTCTTAACTGGCCTCTTGCTCTCTCTGTTGGACCCCTTTATGTGCTTGCCATGAGGTAGGCAGATAAAAAGACAAATTAGATTAGGTCATGGCCTAATTGTGGCTGAGTCCTTTAATAGCTCCCAAAAGTCTAGGGCTATGCAGGTCCCTCCATACCTTCATATTTGAGCTTCAGCATCACATCCTTATCTGTTTTTCCAATATGTGACCCTTGTTATTGCCTCTGGGTCTTTTTCTAGCAATTCTCTTTGACTTGTACACTTTACCACCACTAGCCTTTGCCCTTTGCTTAGGTGTTTCTTGGGAGAAATTTCTGACTGTCCTCACCCCTGCACTGCTGCCCTCCCCTTTCAAATATCTGGCTCCCCCGGTGAGTAAGGCCTTGTTCTATGGACCTAGCGTGGCTCCTGCCATGTGGTAGGAGCTCAGAGAGCAGCTGGATAAATGCCCTGATTAATGAGTTCATGTTTTACAGATGAACAGGCTGACCCTGATGAGGCCAGTCAGTACACTAAGGACAGAGGCTGCCACCTTTCCAACTGAGGGGCTTGCAGTGGAGTGGAATCCAAGGGACTTGACATTTCATCTCTGAAATTGTGACAATACCACCGCCCACCCCACAGATTGCTGAACAGCATCCTGATGGACTGTTCAGACATCACTGTCACTTGAAGACTGAGCTCTATTTGTGAGCCTACTGCAAAGGCCACTAAGCTGGTGGACTCCTACCCTGAGAACTCCCCTTCCCTGTCCCCAGCACAGGAATGTCCTTTTTCTGCCAGGCACGGGTTTGAGATGGCAACAGATTTACTCACCATGAAGTGAAATGCGTGGAGCCATCAGGTGTGGATCCGTTCTGGCCGCCCAGACCTGGGGGCAGGAACATATCCAGAGTTGCAGCAGGCTGGCTTGGGGATCTGAGCAGCCATCAGCCCAGTTCAGGTTAGAGGTTACCGGTTATTTGGAGAGTCTGGTAGGGGACCTAAGGGGCTAGTAGTATTGTCTGATGAGGGTTCAAAGTAAGAAGTATGTGGTGGGTGAACTGGTGGGGTTTCTGGCGTGAAACGGTATGTTGGCATGAGTTAGAGTATAGCGTTAAGTTGCGATAGGTTCTTAGGGGACCAGTGGTAGTATAAGGGGGTCCTGGGTACAGTCCTGAGGGGTGAGGGCGGCCAGTCCACGGAGGTTGGTGGGGAGCCTCACCTGGGCGGTGATACAACCCGGTCACCGTGCTCCCGTAGAACCCCCACGCCAGCTGGATGCCCAGGAGACTTAACACCAACCACAGCAGCAGCAGCTTGAAGAGGGTCACGCGCATGTCCTGCGCCTCCCACTCCCGCAGGAACTCGCTGCCCAGGGCGCCCAGGACGCCTAGCACCGTGGCCGGCAGAGCTTGCAAGGACTGCGCAGCCCAAGAATCCGCCATGATTGGCTCGCGCCCCACCCGGAGGACTGTCACCGTAGTTTCCACAGCGCAGGCGTCTGGTCTTCCGGGATCAAGCCCGTTAGGGCGCACGCGTAAACCCAGGCAAGGCGAGCCTATCTCGCCTGCGCGCAGAGTTGGCAGTTTGGGAGGAGTATTAGAACCGCGCACGCGCAACTAGCCCCACCCTGCTTACTTAAAGGATGAGTGACTCGAGAAGTACAAAATAGCAACCAGGTCTTTTATAGCCCCGGAGTTCCCGTGATGCCTCACGCGGTTGCAATTATTGGTCAAGCGCCTTGCTTTTAGGGCGTGGACGCGCTCCTGAGCAATCGTGGCTGAGCTGTGAGTGCGCGCGCGGGCGCGGGGCCGCGACTGAGGCCAGCTCGAGCCCGCTGAGCAACCGGGGGCGCGCACGTCGCTCCCCGCCCTCCCGCCGCCACCCGCCCTCGCTCGCGCTCCCCTCCCGCCGCCCGCCGTCCTCCGTCGGTTCTCTCGTTAGTCTGCCGCCTCCTCCTCAGCCACCCGCGTTAGTCTCGAAGCTTGCGACTCGCGGACAAACGTCCTCGGCGCAGAGAGGTCGGACTCGGAGTCGTCGCCTGAGGTGAGAGGGTTTCCTCCTGGCGTCGCGGCCCCCCGGGCCCGCCCGCCCGGCATTCTTCCGGCCGCCCTCCCGCCGCCCCACCGCGGCCGCGCCCCACCTGCTGCTCTCGTCTGGCGGCCCCTGGACCCTGACCCTGACTCCGGGCCCGGACCCCGCTCCGCGAAGCGGCGGCCCCGCCCGCGCAGTCCCCGGAAGCGCGCCCCGCGGCCTCCCGCGCCCCTTCCCCCGCCCGGCCAGGCCTGGTGGAGCCCAAGCCTCCCGCCGGCGGTCCCCGGCGCTTCCTCTCTCCGCGGTGCCGGGCAGGGCGGGGGCTCTGAGCCGGGCCCCAGAACCGCTCCGTGCAGCCAGCCACTGCGAAACGCGTGTGGCTATCCGAGTTGAAATGGGAAAGAAACTCTTTACAACTCCATTTTGGCTTTTACATGTAATGTGAAACATGAATCACCGTTTTATACTTGGGTGAAGTCCAGTTATATTAGGTAGATTTTTCTTTTTCAATGTATTCTTAGAGATCGTGTAAGTAAAAGATAGTATTGAAATCTTAAGGGTTAGGATTCTTAGGTGTTGCAAAGAAGGAAAATGTCCATTTAAAAAAATTTTATGATTTAAATTTAAACTGTTGCATCAAAATAATATTAATTTGCAGTGTTGCCTAGTCTAAGTTACTACCTTGACTAGGAATCACCTAAACCAGATGTTCTTATTACCAATTAGAACCAGTTACAAGTCATCTTCATTAAATAGCACTACTTGCACTCAAATTGATTTGGGCAAAATCGTGTTTATTAGTTTATGGTGGAAAATTGGCATCGTTTTAACCTCAGAGTTGGTTCCACTTGTGTTTTTTAATGGTCCTGATTTAAAATTTTAACCACTGTTTGTGACTTATTCTTTTGGTGTTTGAAAATCTTCAGAAGTAAATGTTTCTTGCAGGTGTGTAATTAGATTATGTTCCTCCCTGCCAGATCTGAAGGGGGAAAATACTTTAAAAAATTATTTAATGTTGTATGTGGTGAGAATTTTTCAACCACTTAGTGTCACATACCATTGTATGGTTGTCACTTTAGACATAGCTAAAATTGGTAGAGATATTGTTTTGAATATTTGACACAAGTGGCATTGTTTGGACTGAATATACAAAACTTAATCGTAAAGGATTATTGAAGGATTTGTTTGATAAATTGTCTTGAGAATAGTTCTATCTACTTGGGTACAGCACCCACTGATCCTCTGGGGGACATAAAATATGTCATCTGCAACTTGCTTTGAGTCAAAGTCTAGTCCTAGACTTACAGCCTCTGTTCTTATAAAACTGTATTGGAAGGAAGAAGAGAGTAGGATATTTTTCATAGATCCAGAATTTTAGACCTGAATGGAATCTTCAGGATTTATAGTCCAACCCTATTGGCAGATAAGGAAACTGAGTCCCAGAAGCTTAAGTAAATTTCCCAAGGTCAAATGTCTGGTCAGGTGCAGGCCACAACTATTTTCTCTGTAAGGTATTCTCCATGTACTCCATACATCTTGATTAGTGTCAGCTGAAATTCAGGACTTAAAACTTATTCCAGTGTGTTCTTTTATACATTGCTGATTTCATGTATATTGGGAGAATCTGAAAAATTCATTTTCCAAACAAATTTCAGTTCTTTAGCCAAAGCAATCTCCTCTCTTTAACTGGATGGTCCTGTAGCAGTTCATTGAAATAGATAAATGAATATACAGAATCCCTGCCTGACTAATCCTGGTTTTAGGCGTTTGGGTCTTCTTGAGGGACCAGCTTCTTCCACAGGGAGGCCCAGACTCCCCTGCACCAAATCCAACATAATTAAGTCAGGCTAAGATGTTATCAGGTGACTGTGGGCTCTTGACTATTGACTTGAGGCAGGATGGGAAGAAAACTACATATATCAAGTATAGTTCCTTGTGTGTATGATAGTGGTTTTGTTGGAGTTATTTTTATAGTCCTGATTCCTTTTTTTGTCAGTTAACTCCTTTTAAAAGTTTATCCTGGTCATGAGTGGGGGTGTAAGTTATTAGGAGAGTGGAAAGAGGTAGATCTTAGGTTGTTTCCTGTCCATGGGGTGGAGTCCAAGCAATGACAGGAGGAAGTGGGTTGCTACTTTGGATCTTGTTGATTGTTCTAGAGCTGTGAAGTTTATGTTAACTGTCAGAAGAAAGACTGATTTTCAACTTTTAAGAGAGCTAATTTGGACTTGCTGGGCTTCTATAGACAGCACCTTGAGTTTAATTGCATTATGGCTATTAGTGATAATGATAAATGGTACATAATCACTGGATTTTAATCATATATATTTGTAGTTTTAAAAGGCCTGTAAGTATTTCCTTTTCCCCTTACCACTTAGTTTATCCCTTTTTGCACCCAGCCAGTGGAACTCAGTTTGTACCTACACATTAATGTAACTAAATTTTAAACTTGTTTTGATGTGTCTTACTATATTCTGCTCTTTGGGGACATGATCACTGTTAAGTACTTGTGAGATTAATAAATTAAAATTTCCAAGACAGTTTAAAGTTAGTAATTACTGTAAAATTCCTATTTCAAGTGTTTCTATTTTAAATGACTCATTTTTAATCTGTGGTGCTGTAGTAATAAGTGAAGGCCTTGTATACTCATAATTATGGTAGTCATATGACTGAAAATCAGATAGGCATTGAAGCTGCTGGTTCTGGGTGTTGGTCTGAGTTTATTGGTGCTTAGATGATTCTGAATACGTCTTTATATAACTAATAATCATCAAAATATCAGGTACACTCTGTTAAATTACAGCTAGTTTGCAGTTTGTACCAAATTGAGCTTGATTTTTTCTTAAGAGGATGAGTAGAATAAACATGTTTAAGCATACTTATGATAGTATCTTAATATCCAAGTGAAGGGTAAGAGGAGAACATAGTGAAATAGGTTTGGAGTAAAGGGAAAAGCAAGAGATAAAATGAGAGGTGGGCGCGGGGACCAGATTATGTAGGGCCTTTAGGACATGGGAAGATTTTTAGGTTTGTTCTGAGATGAGAAGTTTGTTTGTTTAACAGGAGAATGATATGATTTTATGAAAACCAGCAACTAGAATTGCTCACTAAAAGTAGGGGTGGATTTGACTTTAATAAGCTAATACTGATCATTTCTGACAAAAATATCAGAAGGATTTCCTAATATTTTCTTGACCTGTTTTTTTGAAGCAGTTGATTTTTTGACAGTTGCCTTTCAGCCTGTAATTTCTCTGTAATGCCTGTATTGAAAGGAAATATAGCTTAATAAAGCAAGCCATTAAAGTGTTCATGGTCTGAGTGCTAGGTATACAGGTGTTCACTGTAAAATTCTTTTAACTTTGCTGTGTGTTTGACCATTTTTATAATAAAATGTTGGGGAATTAATTTATATAGACTTCATCTGCTTTTGATTTTTGCTTTTAAAAGGGCTATATTTATAATATTTAGAAAATAAGGTTGTGTACATTTTGTTAAGTGAATGAGGTCAAGACTTGTATAAATGTGATAAATTTTTATGGTATGTCAATTAAAAATGAAATCTTTTTTCTCCTCTCTTGGATTTTAAATTACTTCATGGGAACTGTGAGCAAACACATTCACATCTTGTTTTTTGTTTTCTTACTTGTAAAATGAATAGACATAATTCCTGGTATTTTTAATATTTTTGTAGTGCCTTTCATCTGAGAAGTTCAAGGCACTTTGTGGAACTTCTGTCACACAGGCCGTGGGTCTTGCAGCACATTTGTAAGGTATGTAAATAGAAGCCTCTTCTTTCATTCTCCTTTCCTCATGGGATAGAGATTATTGTTACATAGTATATATTAATGTAAGTTCTAGGGAAATGTGGGTATGTCTCTATTGATGATTTTCTTCTCCACCAATCTTGATATCTTTATCTTACTCCATAACTTTTCTTTGTGGTCTTATTTCCTGTCTCCCCCTAAGATACTCCTTCCAACTTCCTTCTTCTCTTCTATTCTAAGTGATACTTCTTCCTTAGATGAAGATATATTTCCTAACCTCTTTCTTAAGCTTTAAGGAGATGAACTAACCATATTACACACATACTTTCACTTGTGGACCATTCCCCCCATCCTATTCCTTTTGCTTTTCATCTTTTAAGTTTGAATTTTTATTTTATTTTATTTTTTTTTAAAGATTTTTATTGGGGAATTGGGGGGATGGGAACAGTGCTGGGGAATTGGGGAAAGGGGAAACAGACAAGTTGCTGTCGTTTTGTTCTTCAGTCTAGTTGTGGAGGATGTCGCTTCACTGGCCCAAGTTGGCACCATCATTGCGCTCTTCTCTGGCGAGGCAGATCAGTCGCCGGCTTCTGGACGGCCGCTCACTGCGGCTGCTGGCCGCTCACGCTGGCTGCTGGCCACACACGGTGGCCCATGGCAATCCACTGCCACAGGG